CATGAGATATCCAATTATTCTTTGTCTGTTGGCTCTGTGCCTTAACATATGAACCCCACACCCCACATAGAGATACAGCATTTTCCTTCGGGCACTTCCATAGCTCCTAAACTGGGCTCAGCAGTTTTAGGTAAGAGCGTATTCTCAGTATCTTTGACAATACAAGTCACACTGTCTGAGTGTGTGTGTGTGTGTGTGTGTGTACTCACAACAATCGAGTAAATGCCAACTCATAGTCACCCTTTAGGACAGGGTCTAATGTACAATACTGTAACTATTTACTGGAGTAGAATACCCTATATGTGTCAGAATGTAGACCCAAAGCCCATCAGTACCCCATTGGCCATCCCCTCACAGAAGGGTCACAAGGAAGGGATGAGCCATCCAGGTGCAGTGCAGCACAGATGAAACACACAGCGTTCCTCTCCTTCTTTAATGCTTCCCCCATCCCCCATTATGACCCCAGTTCTATCTTACCAGTCTGGCTAGGCGGGAGCATGTACACAGGTACAGAAAAGAGCTCAGGACACACAGGATCCAGGGCAGATATTGAGAGTAGCGATACCATGAGGGCAGGGGGAAGGGGTCTTCTACAGCTCTTATAACAATCTGTACATCCATTGTATCAAGCACATTAGTACATTTGTTGCCATTACACCTTTCAAAACCTTTTCTTTCTATTGAGCCCTTTATATCAGCTCCTCTTTTCCCCCACTCCCTCCCCCACCCTTCCACCCTCGTCAACTCCTGATAAATTATAAATTCTTCTTTTTATTTTCCTATAAATATTTTCATTTCGTGCTTAGAAGTTGCAGGTTTAAGTTCTATTAACAGAGAACACATAACAAAAGCTTCCTAACAGGTGAAAAGCGCAATTATAAATGCTGGGAAAATTGGCCCCATTAACATAGTTATCGACATTTACTTAATACATACTTTATGGAAAATTAATTATAGGACATTTATAGAAGCAAGAAAATTCACAAATCACTCTGAGTCATGCACACTTTCATATTTTATTGTATAGGCAAAGGTCAAAGCTGTATTATTTCTAGAGGTGGAACTGACCAAGCAAATGGTCAGTCTGCAATACTGCCTTTGTCTGGTTGCGTTCCTTCACCTAAAGGCGTTTCTTTTGAATGCCTGTCTGCACGCTTCTGCTCTCTTTGCACTGCTCTGCCTGGATCTTCAGAATAAGATTGCGGATTTCTTCTCTTTTTGTTCGCATTCTTAGAGGAGGAAACTGGTTTCTCAAATTTGTAGGTAGTTCAAAATTGAGAACTGGATTCTCAAAAAAACTTTCTACATACTGCAGTAAATAGACACCACAATCACTGAGGTTACTTTGCTGGGGTACATTTGGACTGAGGCTTTTCATAACATCTTTGGAAAAACTCCTCTTGGTGCCCTTTTTAATTTCCCATTCCTCCTCTAGATATTCTCTTAGAATTTTTACAACATGTGCGCGGGAAGGGCCTCGTAGCGAGTCCAGAAGCAAGATGCAAGGCATCTTATAGACGGTAGGCTTTAAATGCCACTGTCCCCTCTCCGGGTTGCAATGGCTATCCTGATCTTTTAAGGATGACTCATTAGGATAGCTTAGCCTGATTTTACTTAATTCATGTATATGGTGTGAAAGTCTTAAATGGTCATCGTGTGGGCCACTCTCACTTTTATTCTTATCAACAACTTTCTCGCACACAGACTGTCCTTTATTTGATTCTTCACTTGCACTTGCAGTCTGGTTTATTTTTTCCAAACTATCTTTTACATTGCATATATTTGCCCCACAACGAGGGTCACTTTCTTCCCGTAGAGCATTTTTTGAATGAAATAAATCTATATGCGGCTTTCTGTTTAGAATCCTTGAAATTACAGGCGTGGCAGAGGAGTTTTGTGAAAAACTGACCATCTCATTGGATGAAGGAGAAGATATACAACTGTCTACTACAGTTAAACTTTTTTGCACGAGTGTGTTTTTGTGGTAATGAGGTTTAAGCTCATATTTTGGTTTCTCCAAGCCAGGGAAACAAATAATAGCCAAAAACCAATGAGCATTTTCATTAACAGGTACAAAAATAAAGTCCTTTGCAAAAATATCTACGTGCCGGGTCCAGGTTTTTACTCTTCGATGTCGCTTTTTCTGTATTGATAGATTGGTGCTTTCCTGAAAATTCTGTCTTTGTCTGTCAGTCATGCATTTGTAGAAAAAGGAACTGAAGATATGAATTCGGTTGGCTTCCTCTTTCTTCAGTTTCTCACGCACCAAATATTTCAAATAAAAGTCAATAATAATATCATTTAGAAGTTCCCCTTCCTTTAGACAGTGTAGGTCCTCATTAGTAACAGAAATTCCTCCTCTAGCTGGAGGTGGTGGATACACTATTAGTTTTTCTACAGGACCAATAATGATGGCATGGCTCGCTCCACCTGCTTTGTCATCACCAAAAAACTGGAGTTTTCGTTTGTTTTGAAGTTGCATTTTAGTTTCAAAGGACATCTTTATTGGGTTTAATTTTTGTATCACAGTTCCTTTGATGCTTTCGGTATAGGTTTTTCTACAGGCAACAAGTCTGCTATTGGCTTTTTCAAAGGGAATTTTTGAAAAAAAGTTGGAAAGCTTATTCTGTCTACCTATTTCAGTAATGATTCTTTCAAATAGTGTATTTGTTTTAAGATCAAGGTCTGTGTCAACACTTAAAATAATATATTGTTCTAGATTTGGAATCTTATTTATTTCTTTACACTCGGTCCAAACTTTATCTTTCTTACGCATTTGCAACTGCATAATCAACTTTTCATAAACTGCTGGGGTCGTCTGTAGAAACACTACTGGTGGTTTTAAGACATTACACCATTCACATTTTATTAAATCAGAGGTATCTAAAGTAATTGGCATAGGACCACCTTCCGGTTCTTCTAGCTGTATCTTGATAAAATCCAAACAAAAAATGACTGGCTCTATTAACACCCGGAGAAGTGTTCCTACTCGTAGACTTCGACAGTTTAAAATGACTCTATCACAGGAACTCTCGCATCTGACGGACAAAGGGTGGACTA